CAGCTCAAGGCTAGCGCTCTACCACTTGAGCCACAGCGCCACTTCCGGCTTTTTTCTTTTTGCTTATGTGGTGCTGAGGAATCAAACCCAGGGCCTCGAGCATGCAAGGCAAACGCTCTACCACTGAGCCACCTTCCCAGCCCATCCATTTTTGAGATTCTTAATATAGATTCCTTCCCATTTATGAGTTTTTAATCTAGATCTAGCCCTTAGTTGGTGTGCTGGGATTGTTTCTATACAGGAGAATAGTAAAGGGCTTGCCCTGGGTACCATCTCTCAGCAGGAGCCAACTGGCATAGATGGAGTTAGGGGATGCTAGACACATGGGAGAGGAGCCAGGACCAAGGTAGGAGGTGTGGTAGACAGTGGGTAAGGTTTCTGGAAAATGGGTCAGGTCATGAGCTGGTTGCACCCCAGGAACATAGGGAGCTTCCACAGGTGTTACACACCTGGCCTGGATATCAGCTCACTGTTCTGGAAGGGGCATGAGAGGTTGGTCCTCTGTGCTGACTCAGAGACCAGATCAAGATGGTGGTGTTTTTGGTTTTGCCATTGTCTGGATCAGACAGCAGAAATCCGATTGAACTCAGTGAACCCACACCAGGACCCATAGCTGTTGGTGAGGCTTGGAACTCCGGCAGGCTTTTGCCACAGTGTGCAGGCCACAGCTCCATCAGCTGTCAGCTGTTCATCAGCCTCCTGCCATAAGGCAATGCAACACATGGGGCTGTTTCTTATCATCGCAAAGACCAAGCCTCTGACGGTGGGCAGCAGTCTCACTGTGTCCTCATGTGGTAGAAAGGATGAGGGGTCTCTCTTGAATCTATTTGATGGTGCATCAAAGCAGCTAGGCATCTCTTATCTCTTTTATGAAGGTGCTTTTGTGATCTTGTCACCTTGGTGATCAGTTTTTGTTTTTGTTTTTTGTCTGTCATGGGGCCTGAACTCTGGGCCTGGGCTCTGTCCCTCAGTTCTTCAGCTCAAGGCTAGTACTCTTCCACTTGAGCCGCACACAGCGCCACTCCCGGCCTTTTCTACTTATATGTGGTGCTGAGGAATTGAATTCAGGGCCTCATGCATGTGAGGCAAGCATTCTACCACTGAGCCACCTTCCCAGCCCCAGTGATCAGATTTTAACAATGGATTTGGGGGAACCATTTTATCCCTAAGAGTACTTTCCAGAAGATTCTGCTGGAGCTGCTTTGCTGTCTGAAAGTGAGCCCTACCTCTGGACTGGCCTTGGCTCTGTCTGTAAATTTCAAAGAACTAGACAACAGCTCTTCTTTGGGCTATAACTGGGACTTCAGCTGGGCACCAGTGGCTCACACGTGTAATCCTGGCTACTCAGAAGGCTTAGATTTGAGGATCACAATTCAAAGCCAGCCTAGGGAAGGAAAGTTTGTATGAGACTCTTATCTCCAGTCAACTACCAAAAAGCTAGAAGTGGAGCTGTGGCTTAAGTGGTAGAGTACTAGCTTTGAGCAAAAGAAGTTCAAGGGCAGTGCCCAGGTCCTGAGTGTAAGCCCCAAGACCAGCACAATAAAAAAATAACATTTCACATGTCACTGAAGTGACCTGGGACCCCAGTGCACTTTCTAGAAAGGTCTCTTGCACAGAGCTGCTTCTATATCCTACATACTGGGCTTTACCCATGTTCCCATTAATTTTCCTTGATGTCGGAGTCTGCTCTCAGTGCTATTCTTTGCTTCTCTGTGAGGGAGTGAACCTTCCTTTTGAAGTAAGGAGCCAGAGTTGATCATTATAAATAGCTGGGCTAGGAGCTGGGGATCCAGACAGTCTTGCCTCAGAGCAGGCCAGAGGGTAAACACATGAAAGAAAGACAGAGCAGTGCGTTTCATAGAACAGAAAGGGCACAGGAAATGGATGGTAGCATCTGTCTGGTGAGAGTATGGAGCAGGCTTTTAAGAAGGCAGAATCATGAGCCAAGATTGTAAATGAGCAGTGTGGGGCTGGGATGTGGAATGCTTACCTAGCATGCACATGGGTGAAGCCCTGGGCCCAGTTCCCAGCACTGCAGGGGGGAGGGAGTGGCATCTTGACAATCTAAAATTGGGATAGAGCCAGAATGTCTCCCAGTTAGCACAGCTAGGTGGTGAGGAATGGGTGTCAGCCATTAGGGAAACTGGGGAAAAATTAAAAACTCCATGCTCTTTGAGATTACTATAGTAATCCTGAGGCATGGTGGCACATGCCTGTAATCCCAGCACTCAGAAGCTGAAGCAAAAAGAGTTGGGCTGGGAATGTGGCTTTGTGGTAGAACGCTTGCCTAGCATGCACAAAGCCCTGGGTTCAGTTCCTCAGCACCACGTAAACAGAAAAAGCCGGAAATGGGGCTGTGGCTCAACTGGCAGAGTGCTGCTAGCCTTGAGCAAAAAGAAGCTAAGGGATGGTGCTCAGGCCTTGAGTTCAAGTGAGTTCAAGCCCCAGTATTGGCACAAAAAAAAAAAAAAGATTGAGTTTTAATCCGCTTGGGCTTCATAACAAGACTCTCAAAAGCAGGCAGAGGACAGCGGGCCAATCACATACTCTTGGGTAACAGCGCCAGCTTTCTCTGACAGAGCTGGGACCTATTAGAGTTTGGGCAAAGGAGGGCTGGGCCCTGACTTAGGTCTCAAGAGTGTTCACAAGACTGCTGCATGGTCTGGATAGGGCATGGCGGGACCATGGCTAGGGCTGGGGTGGGCCTGGGGTCGGGCTGGTCAGTGGTTAAAGGTGATGTTGAGAACTGGAAATTCTTTCTGATGCTGCCACTCACCAGGCCTGCTTCTCTGCAGGCTAGCCCATCTGTCACTCCAATCGATTCTCTCAGGGAGCCTCCTATTGCTGGCACCATGACAGTGAGGGGCGCTGAGCTGGCCCCAGACCCAGCGTCGCCCACAACCGCAGCAGCTTCGCCCAGCGTTACTGCGACCCCTGAGGGTAGCCCCACAGCCATGGAGCAGCCTGTGTTCCTGATGACCACCGCTGCCCAGGCCATCTCTGGCTTCTTCGTGTGGACGGCCCTGCTCATCACCTGCCACCAGGTACTGGCTCAGCAGGGGGGCTCCAGAAGGACCCAGAGAGGTGTCTAGTGCAATTCAGTGTGGCTTGGGCAGGCCAGGCTGGGCATCAGAGGGAGAAAAGCCCTATCTGTAGGGCCAGCTGATAAGCCTCTTTGTGTGTCACCCTACCAGCTTCATGTGTCTCCTTTGCTTTATCTCCCCCCCCACCCCGCCCCCATTTCGTAAATACTGTTCTATATGACCAGAGGTACAGAGACATTGTGCTTTTGTGTTCCTCTCCTAAGAGTGTCCTCATTTGGTGTCACTTTATGTTAACATGTCCAGCCCTGTGTAACCCTTTGCTTTGTCTCTTAGAATGGAAGTTGTCTGGTTCATTTTTGCAGGGGAGGACTCCGAGGCTCTGAGTCACTAGACTCAGGCTGCAGAGAGAATAAGGGGCAAAGCCAGATGTCAAGACTCCTATCTTTCTTTTTTTTTTTTTTGGGTCCGGTCGTGGGGCCTGAACTCTGGGCCTGGGCGCTGTCCCTCAGCTCTTCAGCTCAAGGCTAGCACTCTACCACTTGAGCCACAGCGCCACTTCCGGCTTGTTTTCTTTTTGCTTATGTGGTGCTGGGGAATCGAACCCAGGGCCTCAGGCATGCAAGGCAAGCGCTCTACCACTGAGCCACCTTCCCAGCCCCAAGACTTCTATCTTTCTCACCTCTCATTTAGTGCGGAAGGAAGAGGGTCTTGGACCAGGGAGGGGGGAGTGAGGTGGCAACAGAACGTCTGGGCTCACCCCTGTCCTCTCCCCAGATCTACATGCACCTGCGCTGCTACAGCTGCCCCAACGAGCAGCGCTACATCGTACGCATCCTCTTCATTGTGCCCATCTACGCCTTCGACTCCTGGCTCAGCCTGCTCTTCTTCACCAACGACCAGTACTACGTGTACTTTGGCACAGTCCGCGACTGCTATGAGGGTGAGAACAGTGGGGTGGGAGCATCAGGGGGCCTGGAAGCTGACGGGAGACAGCGGTGAAGGGGTACCCCATCCACCTTCCTGCCTAGGGTCTGGGGCTACATACAAGCCTTCGCCCTCATGATCCTTCTGAGGGGTCTTTGGGCCCCTGAGAACCAGTCCTGACCCACTCTAACTTCTTACCCACTTGGGGTTCCGTCCACCCCACACCAACAGGTAACAGTGTTCCAGTAGACCAAGTCTCTTTGTACAGGGCTCTTGGCTACAGGGTCCCAGAACACCTTCACAGAGTCCTGGAGGCAGGGACCTACTTGTTTCATTTCTTCCTTCTGGCATCTTCCACTGGGGGACAGGCAGCATGTAAGCTGACCCAGGGCTCAATGGGAGGGATTCAGGGAACAATTGATGGCAAGTTGGCAGCAAGACCAAGCCTGCCTCCACTCTCATGGGTCTAAATTGAAGGGCTTTTTTTCACATGAGGTGCACTGCTGTGCTTTGAAAAAAGGGACTGTGTCTTCTCTCACATGCCTTGTTTCTGTGTGTAGAGAAGAGGCATCACCTCCTGTCCTGACCTTCAGTTTCTGGCTGGGCTCTGGGTGTCAAAGAGGAAAAGCTGGTACACTCACTCCTTCCTAGCCGCTGCCTGCTTGTCTTTTGAATAGTGTCCTAATGAACCTTCTTCCCCCTATTCAAAACAAACAAAATTAACCCAGTTGGTCCTCACCCTCTTGCCCTCTGAGGTCTGTGGCCACTGAATGATCAGCACAGAGAGACAATGATGCTGTTCCCCTAGGGAGAGAGGAATCTGCCTAGCCAAGAAGTCTTGGGGACATGGAAGGGCTGGCCTCAGCCAGAGCAGAGCTCAGCTCAGGGAGGATTCACACAGAGACATTCACTGCCTTGCAGGATAAAAATCGTTTGAGTCTGGACACTCCTGGCTCATACCCATAATCCTAGCTCCTCAGGAGGCTGAAATCTAATGATCTAAGAGGCTATCACTCCAGTTAACCACCAAAAAAGCTCAAAGTAGAGCTGTGGCTCAATTGGTAGAATGCTAGCCCTGAGCAAAAAAGTATACACACACACACACTCACATGATAAGATTGAAAGTTTTAGGTGAGAAAAACCTGCATGTGGAGGGAAAGGCTAGAGGCCCAAAGACTGGCTACGGGCAAGTGGTTTCCAGGGGGCTTCCTGGATGTCAGAGTTCATCACGATTGACCCCAAAGCAGCTAGAGTTGCCTCCTGTCCCACATTGGACCTATGCGTTGCTGGGACTCCAGATGCAGGAAATGCCTGTGCATTAGCGAGGAAATTGAGGTGCCTACCATCCCACTGCACCTTCCTGCCACCTCCCTGAATCCCCAGGTTCCCTCACCCACATTGCCCTTCCCCCCGAACCTTTACTGCTGCCAGATCAGCCTTGGAGCATATCAAGTGTTTCCTGGCTTTGGGAGCCTGGCATGTGCCCTCTCCCCAGTGCCTGGAAAGTTCTTCCCAGCCCTGTGGGGGACCTGCCCTTGTCTGCTCCCCAGTGTCCCCTCCAGAGGTGGTGTTGCTCCCAGCACTCCGTGTTCACTTTCTGCCTCACTGGCAAACTGAGCTCTGATGGCAGCTCCAGTGTGTGGCTTAACTGCATGCATGCAGGCAGGCACTAGTCTTCTTCTTTTTTTAAATTTTTGGTTGCTGGAGCTAGAACCCAGGGCTCACACAGGCTAAGCATGTGTTCTTCCTCTGAGCTATACCCCAGTCAACTCAATGAGTTTTGAAAAAAGAAAGGACTTTAATAGTTCCTACCGGGTGCTCTGCCTTGCCCCTGTGGGGCCTCTTTTTATCCTGGCCGTGCTCCTGTCTTACACTTCAAGAGAGAGTGCTGAGGCAGATGGGGACCTGCTTAAAGATTGGCTGGGTGTGAAGTTCCTGGAAATAGCGAGTTCCTAGGGAGCCCTCTGGGCTGCAGTAGGATGGGACCGAGCCTCTGTTTTTCCTACAGGTGCCACTCTCAAATGAACACCCAGGAGTAGCCTCCACCCACTTAGTTCTTTCAGAAATGAAAAGCTGAGCCTTTAGTACCCCTTCCCCTGCTCCTGAGACTCCATTTCCTTCACTTTTCCCAACTTCTCCTGTGTGTTTGAGGGGGCGAGTATATTCTCTTCTTGGCTGGTCCCTGGAGAGGGGTGCTGAGCAGAAGGTGAGGGACACAGCCAGAGGAGCCTCCATTGGCTCTTGCTCTGTGCTCCAGAAATGGCAGCAGATGGTCGGTAGACACCTCTACTCTGGAAGTCTCTTTGTTCTGCAAGCCAGCCAGCCTCGCTGCCTGTGGGAAGGTCTTCACTGGAAACCTGCCGCACTGTGAAACCTATCTCCTAGCAACACGATTGTCCTGGCCTGGCCACTCTAGGGATTTATACAGAGCTGGCAGATGCTCCAGTGTTCAGGCAGCTTTACTAAAGCTGCACCCCATCCCGTGCATCTGCCCCTTAAAACTCAAAGGACTGTCAGGACTGGTTCCAAGTTCTGATCCTCTCACTCTTTCTCCTCCAGGCCCCAGTACCCACTGAGGCTTCAGAGCAGCCTTAGAACTTGTCCTGAGGATCCTTATTTCATACTCAGCCAGTCAGCCTGGATGAAGGCCACCCAGAGCAGGACATTATACAGATACTTGTTTTTGTTTTGTTTTGTACTGAGGTTTGAACCGAGGGCTTCATGCTTCCTAGACAGGCACTCTACCATTGAACCAGGCCTCCCACCCTATTTTTGACTTTCTTTTCTGGTTGTGGGGCCTGAACTCTGGGCCTGGGCGCTGTCCCTCAGCTCTTCAGCTCAAGGCTAGCGCTCTACCACTTGAGCCTCAGCTCCACTTCCGTCTTTTTCTGCTTATGTGGTGCTGAGGAATCGAACCTAGGGCTTCATGCATGCAAGGCAACCACTCTATCACTGAGCCACCTTCCCAGCCCCCATTTTGGATTATTTTTTAGATTAGGTCTTCCTCCTTGGGTTTGTGCCCAGACTGTGATCTGCCTGTTTATGCTTCCCATCATCTTCCTTCTAGCTAGGAGGAGGATGACGTTATGTGTGTGTGTGTGACAAGTGTACACATGTACTACTGAATACAGTACAGCTATTGGTTAGATGGGATTCTGGTGAGCTTTTTATTTTTTGGGGGGTAATGGGATCAAGGGCTGGCCTTAAGCAAAAATCCTCCCTGTCTTGGCCACCAAGTATGTAGGATTACAGGAGTAAGCAAATATCATCAGCCTTTAAAAAAAAAAAAAAAAAAACAAATCTGAGCTGAGCAGCCGGTGGCTTACCTATAATCCGCTACTCCAGAGACTGAAAAATGAGGAATGTGGTTCAAAGCCAGCCTGGGCAGGAAAAGGCAGGCAGGAAAAGTCTGTGAGACTTTTCTTTTTTTGTCGGTCATGGGGTTTGAACTCAAGGCCTGGGCACTGTTCCTCAGCTCTTCAGCTCAAGGTAAGCGCTCTACCGCTTGAGCCACAGCGTCACTTCCAGTTTTCTAGTGCTTTTTTATTGTAGATAAGAGTCTCAGGGAGTTTCCTACCTAGGCTGGCTTTGAACCGTGATCCTCAGATCTCAGCCTCCTGAGTAGCTAGGATTATAGGATTATAGGCATGAGCCATGGCGCCTGGCAAGTCTGTGAGATT